CAAAAATCCTCCAGGTACTACAGGTTTCCCAGCATGCTCTGAATGCTTGCAATGGTAAAAAAAAAAAAAGTTATTGATGAATCAGGAATTAACACATGATATTAAAAAACAATTATATGTAAATTCTTTAGCATGACAATTACAATAAATTTGTAAATTTTTATTATGTCTATATAAATATCTAATGCAGCTACTTCAGGGTCATACTAAATTTAAAAAAATTATATCTGAAATGCTAACATCTTTTAATATAAACAAATAAAGAAGAATATGTAAATTATGAGCTTAAATGTAAGAACTGAATACTAACAAACAAGCCTACTTAATGTTTCATTTGTAAACAATGAAATATAATTTTGTAATTAATTAAATGTGCATTACAGTATCCATAAATATAATCTAATGTAAAGTGTCACCAATACTGTGCTCTTCTTGCACATCTTGTTACAAAACAGTGAAGATTGCATCTTAATTTCAGTCGCTGTGACTTGGGACTCTGCCTGAGGCCTTCAGGGAACACAGTATAGTTCAAAGGCTAATCAAGGACAAGTTCCCCCACCACATACCTCAAATGGGAAGACGTAATGTACAAAACCATTTCAGCCGGTGGGCAGATCTTGTCCTCAGACCGCCAGACTCCAAGTCGGATGCTCAGTTTTGTGTCTGTGCTAACGCTGTGCCCATCAATCAGGGCACTACAGACGTCAGCAGTTTTACATCACTGTCAGACAGTCTTTATTCTGGAAGGCCTGCCAATGCATCATAATCAAAAATTCTCTCTCGTCTATAATCCATTGAACTATCTATTAGATTTGCTTTTGTTTTAAGGACATTAATGCTACTGATTATCCACAAAAATTGCTTGCTATACAATAAGTCTGTAGAGATTTATAATTGTGAAAAATGAGAACAGGAAATAGATTCTTTCATTTGTGGCCTGTAGAAATTACAATAATGTTGGTATGATGAAGATATTTAGCTACTGTTATCTCAAAATCTTGAGTTATTTTAGTCTTCTGGAATGTTACAGTTAAATCTGAAGTGAGCAAAAGTATGCAGTAGATAATGAATGGAAGATAGTGTGTGCGTTTGTGCGAAAGAACTACACTGTGAATGTTTAGGAGGTGTGAACTGATGCCTCCTCTCTTTCTATGTGTCACTGTGTGTGGGAATTTTCCAAGCTAATCCCATCAGTTTAGGCCTGCGTTTGATCTACATATCACACAGCACGCAGCGGCTGCCCGACAATATGAAGCAAGCATCAGCCAGATGTTGGCCAACTGTCGGCCACTCCGCCGGAACGCGGCATCAGAATCACAACAGTACAGGCCTGTGACAGTGTGTCAGTTTCCTGTTCTCACTTTAACTGCAGTACTTGCTTTTTCTCTTTCATACAAGTATTCTCCTTCTGATAAAATGATTAAATCCTTGAAGGGTAGAAAGAAAGAAACAGACAGACAAACAGAAATATATAGAACAATCGACAGATGGAATGAAAGAGAAACGATAAATAGAAAGAAAGATATATATGGATGGATAGATAGATCAACATAAGGAATGAAAGATGATAAATAGAAAGTGATAAATTTATAGAACGATACAACGATAGATAGAATGAAAGATGATAAATAGAAGGATAGTTATATATAATGATAGATAGGTAGATAGATAGATCAACATATGGAATGAAAGAGATGATAAATAGAATGATACATTTATAGAACAATAGATAGATAGAGGATGCTGTTAAAGAAGAAGCTCTGTGGCAGGGCTGTTTGTGAGCCAGGAAAGTACATATATTGAAGTGGGGGCTGGGAAAATCCACCAAGCACAGCTCCAGCCCCATTGAGCCATCCAGCAGCCCTCGCTGACATGCCAACCCACAGAGATCAATACAGGCAGAGGGAATGGGGGCGTTCATATGGCTGGATGTGTATGCATGTAGCTAACAGGATGAGAAAGCTGATAATGTATAGACAAAAGGGATGGGAGAAAAGAAAAGAGGGTTAGAACGAATAAGAGGTGGGAGAGATGGTGAGATAACGGAAGTAGCACAGTGAGCTGTGTGTGTGACTGCCACAGTAATAGTGCCAGCATGTTCTAGAATGTTGGCCAGGATGAATCATCAGCATGTAAGGATAGTGGTTACATCAGAGGTGATCTCATAGAGCGCCAAAAAGTACAGGACAGATCAGGTGGATGGTGAATATACACCTTCCGGTATAAAAGATCCATGCTAGGTGAGCACAAACTCTTAAAGGGACAGTTCACTCATTTTACTCACCCTCACGTTGTTCTAAATTTGTTGATTCTGTGGAACACAAAAAGAACATTTTATATAAATAACCTGAACACTCCAGTTAAATTTTCTTACATTACATGGCCATGATATCATCAAAACATCTTTTGTGTTTATTGAAGAAACAATATCATACAGGTTTAAGAGTGAGTAAATTATTTTTGGGTAAACTCTTCTTTTAAACATGTCTGTATGAGAGAGCATTATCCCAGATTTCAGCACCATGGAGAGAGGCATTCTGTAATTAGGTTGTAAGTGCTTTAAAGGGGTCATATGATGCGATTTCAAGTTTTCCTTTCTCTTTGGAGTGTTACAAGCTGATTGTGCATAGATAAGATCCCTGAAGTTGCAAAGACTAAAGTCTCAAAACCAAAGAGATATACTTTATCAAAGTTAAGACTCTGCCACGCCCCCCTAAAACGGCTCGTTCTAACACGCCCCCACATATCTACCTCACTATGTGGAAATATTAGCATAATGCCACCCAAATGTGCACGCAAAGAAAGAAGGCGTGGTTTCAGTAACCGCAGTTAGTGTTGAAGCAGCCATGTCAGGGAGACGCTGTGTGTTTCTAGGCGAAAGCAAAAGCACTTTATTTGGCCTTCCGAAAGTAGATGCATTTAGGAATCTTTAAGATTACTTACAACAGAACAGCAATGCATTTTATGGACTACCGTTTCGTGAACCTAGGAGAGGAGGTCGGAGAGGATGTTTTGTTATTAGTTTAAGTATTTGCTATTGACTGTTCAAATGCGGAGTTTTGCGCATCGTGTGTGTGTGTGCACGAGCGAGCGTGCAAGCGAGAGAGAGAGAAAGAGAGAGAGAGCGCGAGAGAGCGAGAGAAATGTGTTTTTTGAGCATTAAAGCATGTCAACATATTCTGTTACACCAAATACACAAAATAATGATCTTTAAAAAAGCATCATATGACCCCTTTAACCACTTATAACTTGACATGGCATCTTAAAGACAAAGTGTTTAACTGATATGAAATAAAAACAAAAAATACACTGACAGCTAACACAATTTTTGTCTTCAATGATAATGTCTTAAATTATCTTCGTTTGAGGGCCTATCTTAGCAGATATTGATATATGTCATTAGTTGCGATTCATTAAGCACCAGTCCTATAATGAAACAACAACTGTAAGGATTAAAATGCTCTTTTTCTTCTTCAGTGACAACATTTTTGGATTAAGGCCCATCAGTGCCGTTTTTATCACCTGCGAGAACCTTAGTGTTATTGGTTACCCATGTCACTTAATGAAAGTTCCAAGATGGTGATTCATCAAGACTCCCGACAGAAAGATCAGGCTGCTAGCGCTATAAAGGAAATTTTACAGGACGCAACATTCCATTATTTTGTTGGCACACTCACAAATAAATAACACTGCTGGCGGCTAAATTGATGGGCATTGTGATACCTCATGGACATTAAGATCGATAAGATGAAAACTTGGTCCCTTGAGGCTCCATCACAATAAGCAAAGTAATGGAGCCAGGTCTGGAGATCATGGCTGCCAAAAACACTCTTCCACTGTTGCCATTATGGCACTTCCTGTGTTTGCCATTGATGAGGTTGGTCATGCTGATGACGCTATTAGTGATCACAGCTGTAACAATGGTGCGTCTAAGGGGCATCATGCACCTAGTTTGATAGTTTGGCAAAATGAGACAAAAAATTGTATTTTAAATAAGTATTTAACGATTATTTTTTAGGTGATATACAACATTTCGCTGTAGATTTCAATGTAGTTTGCTATAGCGAAATACTAGGCACCTTTTCCACATTATTTTTATGCACTGCCCCACAACATTTCATTCTTTTTTTTCATGAAGTTGTTACTCGCTCTCATTGTGTGGCACAAAAGCGAGAGAAGCATTTTATTGAGCTCACGAGGATTATTACTGTTTGTGTCTGGAGTAACACACACTACAAACCTCTCCCAACTGTATTGAGTTACTCAAAAGGCACAAACATATTACAGAGCTGTAAATTGCAGTATGATCTCCCTGGTGGTTAAGTTTATAGTATCAAGGCAGGTAAAAGGGCAATTAACCTTTCAAAATACTAAGTGCCTGCAGCTAAATTCTTGTTTTGACTGTCCTTTGGTTTTCAATCATAATCACAAGGAAAAATTACCAAAACTCAAAGCACCTGTTTGTTAGCACACATAAGTTCACCGAAAGGTTTCACAGATATTTTCAGTCTAACTTTGCTGCAAATGGACTCGGGTCCACAAAATCTTCCATTGCCATCAGCTATTTAAGTTACAATTTAACTTTCCATGAATAAGATGAAATAACTTGGGACTTGTCAGCAGATGTGAAACCCAGGGTTCAACAGGGTTGACACTATTGTTGCAACTGGCTGTTTTTCTAGTCCCCGAAACCATTAGAAAAGACTTATTTCTTTGACCAAAATTCATTCTTCTTACCACTGCAGCTAAAAGGCAGCCTTTTCAGACAGTTTGCTTTATATAATGGATTTTCCAGCATAGTCACAGGCCAACAGACTATCAGAGCTGAAAACATGAGGCAACTCTCCAAACTGGAGAAACCTGAGGGCAGCAGACTCAGCAGGGGAACCCTGGGTTTCACATCTGCTGCAGTTCCGCAAAATCCTGCAACAGACAGCTTGATTGCTGATTCGTAGTGTACATGTCTAAAGTTGTCTCTTATCTCCTGTCTTTTCACTCAGGTACATACCAGGGCCAATGGGTGGGCGGCATGCGGCATGGATACGGCGTACGGCAAAGCGTTCCATACGGCATGGCGGCCGTCATCCGTTCACCTCTGCGTACCTCCATAAACTCTCTGCGCTCCGAGCACAGCAATGGCACAGCTCTGCTGACTGGCGATCGGGCGCCTGTGGCTGGCGTGGGGGGCGGCGGTGTCCTAGCAGCGGGCAGCCCGGCCGTATCCCGTGGAGGCTTCGTTCTGACGGCTCACAGTGAGGCAGAGCTATTGAAGAACAAAAAGAAGGGCCTGTTCCGCCGCTCACTCCTGAGTGGTCTCAAGCTGCGAAAATCTGAGTCCAAGAGCTCATTAGCCAGCCAGAGGAGCAAGCAGAGTTCCTTCCGCAGTGAGGCCGGAATGAGTACGGTGAGCTCCGCCGCATCCGACATCAACTCAACCATCAGCCTAGGCGAAGGGGAAGGTGAGCTGCCAGTGGGCGAGGACGATGTAGACGCCACTACCACCGAGAGTTATGCCGGCGAATGGAAAAACGACAAGAGGACAGGATGCGGGGTGAGCCGGCGTTCGGACGGACTGCACTACCAGGGCGAGTGGTTGGGCAACAAGAGGCATGGCTACGGATGCACCACCTTTCCTGATGGCACCAAAGAGGAGGGCAAATACAAACAGAACGTGCTTGTCAGCGGAAAACGCAAGAACCTCATCCCACTACGTGCCAGCAAGATCCGCGAGAAAGTGGACAGAGCGGTCGAAACGGCGGACAAGGCTGCCGACATTGCAAAGCAGAAGTCAGAGATCGCGCTCTCAAGGTAAGACATGGGGTCTTAATTCGAAAACATATCTTTGCTAGCTGCTTGTTGACCTCAAAAAGCACTCGACCCCAATGCTAACATACTTTCTCAAAGCAAACCAAGGCAGTTACCTAATTTTAGGGTGAAAATAATGCTTTAAACGATTTTACTAGAGTAGCTCCTGATTTTTAAATGCTTCAAAGACCAACTTGACAAGCTCAATGTTTGTGCAAACAAATGCTAATGTACTCTTAAGAGTTGACAAAACTAGCTTTAAGTACACATACATGTTTCAAATGGACCAAAAATGTTGATGACTCACTAGACATAATTTTGTCCAATTAGATCCTCTAGAATAAGTCTCTCCCATCTGCAACAGACTACCAAGTACTTGGGCTCATGGCCATGATGTAACTAAATCATATGCGCTGACATATTTCTTTTTGAAACAAAGTTTGGGCGCTTTCCCTAATGAGCTTTAGTTACATGAACCTATGTACCTGCTAGTTGGTTGCAGGTGGTATAAAGCCCAAGTATACTTCAGTTTTGACGCGAACACTTACTGTATGCATACAGCGACAGCCGAACACATTGTTTTTCAAAATATACTCCATTTGATACTGTGCGTGAACACAGGCACTCAACAAATGTGCACTAGAAAGATTCATCCTTTTCCAGTGTCTGTGCTATTTCTCTCCTTGAGTTATGACTGATAAAAATATTCTACAAAGCATTTGATTGGACAACATCTGTGTAGTGCAGGATGAGTCATCAATATTTTCGGCCCATTTTCCTGGTAGAGCAACATTATAAATTTGCATTGTAAAAATGCATATATGTGCTAAAAGCTAATTTTATTAACTCTTAGGAGTATGCAAGCATATAGATGGCTTCGAAGCTAACAAACATGGACTTTAACTGAAAGTATTCTTAAATTGAGTCTTAAAATGCACGCCGTGTTCCTTAGCATTAGCATGCACACTCAAACATCTGCTTGGACTACACAAGTGCTCATTGACATTACTGTATCGTTCTACAACATTCATCCTCTCAATTCTTTACACTGCAACCAAACACAGGGCCATATTTCTAGTGGTTACTTGGGACCTGTTAAATAGGCCTTGCTGGTGCCATTCTGTGGTGTGGTTGCTAAGGAAACGTGAATGATTTGTGTCGGTGTCAGCGTGGAGAGAGAATACATAAGTCGGGATTCACTTAATAAGAGTCATGTAGATTCTGGGTGTATCAGCAAGCTGACTGATGTCTGTATTGATGCAGAGCAACAGTGGTAATCAATAACATAGACATGTGGAATGCCATAGTCATAAATTGCCTGATGCTGTTAGTGTGTGTCCGTGTATGTGTGTGTGTGTTTATTAACCGAATACAGTTTGGTTGAATATTGAATGCTAATTGAAAAATGGAAGCATTTTTCACCATGTTGTCTGCATGTCTGCTTTTGTTGATGTTGCCTAGTCTAGAGCAGTGTTTCCCAACCTTTGTGGTCTTAGGTAGCAATACAGCAGCATAAATAAGGTTCAAATGCTCCTTCATTGACACCAAAACGTAAATCTGTTCTATGACCTGACATTACACTGTAAAAGGGGAGAAAAATAAAAAAATTAATTGCAATTAAATTTAAATTATTTTAACCTTTTGGTAGCCTTAATATTAGAAAAATAGTCCATCCAAAACAGTTTTGTTATTGTTAACTAAAACTAAAATTAATGAAAATAATTTATGTTAACTCAAATAAAGTTGAAATACATTTTTTATAAAATATGTAATAAAACGTAAATGTTAAAAACGTGTTTCTTATTGAAGCTGAAGTACTAGAATTACTAAAAGTAAAAATGTAACAACATAAATTAAATCTACAAATAAAACTAATAAAATGACAAAATTGTAAACTAAAATTTAAATATATAAAATACCGTTTATAAATATATAAAATATATAAAAACCTGAAAATATAAAATAGAAGCCAATTCAAAATATAAAAAAAATACTATATGAATAATACTGAAATAATACTGTTTAAAAAATTAAAATGTACTCATTTACTCAACCTAATTTTGTTCCAAACTTTTATAACCCTTTAAAAAAATAAAAAATAACGATTCTGGTTAGTGAAAGAAATATTTTTTGAGTCAGATCTCTTAAATGAATCAGTTGATCTGTTCACAAATCAGACTGATTCAACTCACTGAATATAAGCCAAATTCAACAACAGTTTGCAGAAGATTTTTTATTGAATAACAAATTCAATTTCTGTCTGTTTCTCATATAAAGCTATAGAATGATTTCAGGAGAGCTGAAATATAGCACACAGGTCATATGAACCACATTTCTAATATGTTTATGGTGCTTTTGTGTTCCCCCCATTCATTGTAATTGCATGGAAAACAGCAACTAGCACACTCTTCAAAATATCTCCTTTTTGTGTTCCACAGAAGAAACATATAGGTTTAAAACAACATGAAAATGAGTCAATAATGACAGAATTGTTCATTTTTAGGTAAACTATCCCTTTAAGACTCAGTTTTATATATATAAAAAGAACTTAAGCTAAATCAAAATCTTTCCAAGAACCCCATGGAGTTTGGTACATTCTCCAGACTGGGAATCACGGGTCTAGTTCGGGTTGTTTGGGTGACTCATAGGTCAGCAGAAGAAAAAGGAGATCGAGATAGGGTTCAGGAAGAGAAATCAGAAGCGAGAGAGACACAGAGAATCAGAGACTTCCGCATTATGCCAAAAGTGCTGGAGACCTGCTGGAGATAGACCAGGCAGGCTGAATTGGATCTAAGCCAGTTCGCCTATTTTTTTCACTCTCTCCATTTCAAACACAATCCCAACCGCTCACGAACTCACAGTAGCTTATAGCCTCACACATGTTGCGGACACGTGCTGTGTGCATCCATGTGATCTGTACATACATGTTAGGGAAATGTGTGTGTAAGCACATATGTTGCGTTTATGTGCTCGTGCCTGCCCATTGATGGCGGCTGCATATGTTTGTGTACGTGTGCGCTCATTCAAACGTGCATAGGTATGCATGTGCTATATTAAGAGCGTCACTCACCCCACAAATCCCACTGACCTCATTATATTCTCAGCAATGCTATCACTACAGCTTAGCACTGGCCCTGCCAACACACGGAGCAGACACATACACAGTGCTTGAGAGCAACCAATGAGATAAAGCTGAAACAGAAATGTAAAATAAGGCATTACACTGTGGTTTTATGCATTTTTCAGGTTCTAAGTGTATGTATTATCAAAGACTATAGAAGGGACTTTGGTATTATTACCTTATCGTGCTGTGTGCATCCATGTGATCTGTACATACATGTTAGGGAAATGTGTGTGTAAGCACATATGTTGCGTTTATGTGCTCGTGCCTGCCCATTGATGGCGGCTGCATATGTTTGTGTACGTGTGCGCTCATTCAAACGTGCATAGGTATGCATGTGCTATATTAAGAGCGTCACTCACCCCACAAATCCCACTGACCTCATTATATTCTCAGCAATGCTATCACTACAGCTTAGCACTGGCCCTGCCAACACACGGAGCAGACACATACACAGTGCTTGAGAGCAACCAATGAGATAAAGCTGAAACAGAAATGTAAAATAAGGCATTACACTGTGGTTTTATGCATTTTTCAGGTTCTAAGTGTATGTATTATCAAAGACTATAGAAGGGACTTTGGTATTATTACCTTATTTGCAAACTCTTAAGGAAAAAACATAATTTAATGTTAAAATCAAAATGGGCATGTGTTTAGTATTATTTATACACTATTGTAGTATTTATTCATATTTTGAATTAGATTTTATTTTTATAATTTCAGTTTTCATTTTGAGTTTAAGTAATTTTGTTATCTGTTCTTTTTTTATATTTATATTTAGCTTATTTTTTATATTGGTGTTAGTCTTAGTAAGTTACTTTAAATTACACTTATTTTATTTAAGTTAAAGGGGTCCTATTATGCTTTTTTACTTTTTCAACTTTAGTTAGGTGTTGTAATAATGTAAAATATGTAAAAAAAAATATTGTGTTTTTCGAACAACCTAGTATGAGAGCCTGTTCTAGTACACCCCAAAACAAAATCAAGACTTTGTAAAAGAGCATAATAGGACCCCTTTAATGCCAAAGCAACATTTTTTCATTTAAGTTTTTTAAGTTTAAGTTGTTTTTCATTTAAAAATGTATATATTATTTAAGTTTTATTTCAGTTAGTTTTTTACTTTAAAAACTTATTTTATTTCAGTTAAGTGCCAAGGCAACATTTTTCATTTTAATTTATGTTAAGTTTAACTTGTTTTTAATTGAACATTTTTATTTAAGTTTTATTTCAGTTAACAATGATGATTTTTAACTGTTTTAGACTACAACTGACATGAACTCAAAATTGACCCCAATACTTTTCTTTTTAATGCAAGTTCCTGTAAATTAATTACTGGTTCATAATATTCAGAAAAAAAAACTTTTTCCACTAACATCAAGATCTTATATACATACTGTACATCTATATATATATATATACACACACACACACTTGATGTGCATTCACACATCCAAAATTTGCACAACATTTAATATTTACAAATCACTAAAGACGAATAGAAATTTGCTATTCTATTGCAAAAAAAAATACATTTTTTGTCTCAAAACCTCTCACAAACCATCATTTGTACACTGCAAGGAGTCATTTCATGCATTTTTTTTTTCCCACAAGGTCCATTTAAATCAAGGTTTTCTGAACCAAAAACAGTCATAATTTAGCTTGTCATTGCAATTTTCCAGCCTCTCTTAGCCCTACAAATAGGCTGTTTTTTTCTGCTATGCCTTCAAGACTTCTATGTAAATTCCCTCTTTGCATGTGAAATGAGAACAAGTGCTTTGCTGAGCTTACTGTGGGTTTCTTGGCCATGACTCAAGTTTCTTAACACTCAATTGGCATCAATGACATGCATGGCTGGTTATTTGCTTTTAGTTTAGAACAATAT